TGTTTTTTCCTATACGTGCGAACCTTTTTACTTAAAAGAAGTACCTTACCACTTCTCGTTGGCATATCCGAATTCCCAGCATCGCTACTCTTGTGTTTGGGGCCATTATTAAGTAAAACAAGGGTGACTGGAACACAGCACTGTGATACTACGACTGCGGATCTGATAGCCAAGCTGGCTACTAAGTGACTAATGGGTGTCTACAGCGTGGAAATGCTGGACAAAAGGATGATTCACGCCCCAGGCGGACAGAGCCAGGTGGCGCAAAATTTCATCACACGACTCAGAACGGTTCAGAATTGAAAACTTATGAATTGTTTATTTCTGGAATTTTCCGTTCAATATTTTTGGACTGTAGTTGACCGTGTGTAACTGAAACCACTAAAAGTGAAACTTTGGATAAGGGGGGACTCCTGTATTGCTTAAAGTGAGACTTCCTAGGCTTGAAGAGGAGAGAGAGAGAACCACTGTAGGCAGCTACACACTTGGCATCACCGTGCATTCACTCCACTCTGTCTGTCTGGGTTATGGTGCCATTTGTTTTTATAGTCTTCAGGGTGACTTTTGTTTTCATCATCTCTCATAAGCCAACCACAAAGGTGTTTTCTTTCTATGCCTTGGGGTTAATCTCTTTTGTTTTTTGGTCAAATTTATGTAGCATAGTGATATATAGGGGGTGGACTGTTGAGCAGCTGGCCTGAGTTTTAATCCTGGGTCTACTACATAATAGTTTTCTCATTTGGGGCAGATTACTTGCCTCTCTGTGCCCCAGTTTCCTCATCCAGAAAATGGAATTTGTAACAGTGGCTGTTCATTAGTGGTTGTGAAAAAACTAACGTTTCTATTATGTTCAGAGTTTAGCACATAGTAAGTGTTCAATAACTGGTATTTTTGGAAGGAACAGAAACTCATTCAAATGCGTAAAGGAAAAAGAGGTCTGTTGAAAGATGCCAGTGGGTCCAGCCCTCTTTTTCAGGCTGCCTGGTCTGGTGCCCACTTCTGTTGGTGTGGCCGTCTTCCCCAGCTGTATCTCGTGGCTTGGGCTCGCCACGATGCTGGGTCTGACCCAGCCCTACATGAACTTTTCATTCAAGTGCTTGTGATCATGTAACTTAGTAACTTAGTCATCCCCAAACCTGGGCACATACCAACATCTCCTGGGGAGCTTGTGAAGCAACAGATTCCTGGAATTCAGCCCCCCATTCCCGAACGATTCTGATTCAGCCCGGAGTAGAAATCTATATTTCAGAAAGCTCCCCAGAAAGCTCTACTGATCTTTGGAAACCCACTGATCATTTTCTCTACGCATCTGAACTCCAAATTCCTGGGAGAAGTGTCCAGGCCTTGATTCCATTAGCTTTGGGGATGTGACAAAGACCTGTGGGGCTCAGGGCCCTTGTGGGTGAGGAGGCGATGGCAACCCTCCATGAATGATTTTGAAAGGGGAGTTACAGCATAGGCTCAGTGAAAGAGCTTGTCATTTTCCTTAAAAAGGTAAAATCTGTTGCTTGAAGGAAGCTTGTCCTATTCATTTTGAGGGGACAGAAAATGAGCCTCCTCACCTAGTGAGCTGGCTCTTTTGTCACCTCTGCGGACATCTTCAGTTTGGGTTGTCATTCCCTATCACAGTTTCGACAGGTCGACATTCTCATTCTCATTCTTATTATTGGGTTGTCGGAAAAGTCATGATGTATTTTTTCTATGTTTTTCGTTGCAAAAATGTGTCATGACTTTTCCAACAAACCGATATTTAGGAGCAGTGGTGGGCAGACGCTTGCAGTGAGAAAAAGGGCCACATTGCTGCCTGCTAGGCATACAGCTGGGCTCTGTGGCCTTACATTGGGAGGGCGGGTTTTTGTCCTGAGAACTTCACTGCCTCTCATGTGTTTTGGGGAACCTCAAGACCAGGTAGAAAATAGTGGCTGGATCCTGGGTCAGACTTGGGGAGAAATATATTCCTTTTTTAGCTCTGCCATGACTTAGTGCTTAATTTCTCACCGTCACTGATTAATTAAATGGTGTTAGTCTGATAAGAACACTAATATTGACCGAGCACTTCCTCTGTGCCAGGCACCATTCCAGTGCTTTACATGTGTGAATTGAATGAATCCTCATCACAGTGTGAGATGGTAGATGCTGTTACTCTCCCCATTTTACAGACGAGGAAACTGAGGGCCACCAGGACGGTTACTCGCCCAAGCTCCGGAGCCCATGCTCTCAGCTGTTTCATTGCTACAGCACAGGTGCTTGTAATAGAAATAAGAGGCACTAGTTTACTGCGAAGTGACATTGATTCTCTCTTTTATTATATCTTTTCAGGAAATGAAAGAGGAGAAGTCTTCCTATAACTGTCCCCTGTGTGAAAAGATTTGCACTACACAGCACCAGTTAACTATGCACATTCGTCAGGTTTGCTGCTGCTTTTATATTTTTGTTTTAAATCGTTCTTCATCAAGAGAGGGCAAGATGATATGATCTTAATGGATGAACTGTGGCTGTGTTTAATTTAGATTCAATATTTTAGTTATGTTGAGGAGTGGTTATGAAACAATTTTTTGTGTCCGTGTTATTGTGACAAAGTTTCAGGTCAACACAGAATACCTTTTCAGACTTGAGCAAGTATAGTTAACTGACCACATATAAAGAAGGCTTTGCACCATACATGACTTGTCAGCATGAACAGATCCCTTTACAGTAAGTACAGTGAGATAGGAGGTGTAGACCCCCATTCTTTCTATTGCTGTAACCTTGTCAGGCAGCAGGGAACTGGCTGGATGTGGAATCTCTTTGGGCTCTTGTCCTTTGTTAGGAGATTATTTTCCTTTTCCCTCACCTGCTATGGCTGATTCATAACAAAATATTGATAAATCTAGAGCAATGAAGGAGTGATAACATTAAAGTTATAATATGGTACTGAAGAATAACATCATTTAGTAACTTGGGTTTGGATGGGCACGTTCCATCTTAACATGTTTCAGAGGCCAGATCTCTTCAAGTGGTTTCACTTCTCTTTCCCTGACAGCAAGACTGAGTCATCAGACTTGAGGAGTGGACACTGACCGTGTTTCACATGTTTGCTTCATAACTGAGAGTCTTTCTGTTCACGTTAATATATGTGGTCAGTTAATCTATATATATCTCCAAGAAAGACCTTCAGAGATTCTACCTCACTCCGAGTCTTGCACAAGAAGTATTTTTCACAACTGGAACATGGGAATAGAAGAAGATGGTATAATTATTTATTTGCCTGTGTTCCTGATAGATTTTGACATTCAGGAAGATATTGAAAAATGAAACAGAAAAAAATAGCTGAGAAGCTTTACTGGTTTCCTACAAAGCTCTGAATTTGCTTTATCAAGTTCTGACCCAGTCTTCCTCAGTGACCCCTGTGACGCTTGCTCTCCGCAGCACAACACGGACACCGGAGGGGCAGACCACTCGTGCAGCATCTGCGGGAAGTCGCTGAGCTCGGCCAGCTCCCTGGACCGTCACATGCTGGTGCACTCTGGCGAGAGGCCGTACAAGTGCACGGTGTGCGGCCAGTCTTTTACCACCAATGGGAACATGCACAGGTGGGTGAGGGCCGCAGGGCCTGGTGGCTCTGGGTCTGGAGCTTGACAAAGTCAAGTGGCCTCTGAGCCATCCGAGGACGTGCCTAAAGGCATTATGAGTTCTGAGTTCTGTTCACTGCGGAAAGGCCAGAGGCTATCTCCTGTGTAGTGGGGGTATCTGGGCCGTGGGAAACAGAAGGGCCTGGGCAGGTCTTTGGCCCTTTGGGGATCAGGGTGAAACACAGAGCCCTTCCCCCTTTGCCAATGGAGTTTCTTTGTTTGGGTGCCAGAGGTGGGCAGCTTATCAGGTACAGAGGAGCCCTCAAGGAATAACACAGTAACCCTGGCCTTTTTGAAACAAGTTGCAGATGCCCACAGGTCTTTTTCTTGCAAAAACTTTCTGGGGCTTTTGAACAAATAGTTAAGTGGCCTGGTCTGGGAGCTTCAGGGTAAGATAGGATAAAATGGAGGGGGGGAAAAAATCTGATAAATGTCAGGAATTTACTTCCTGAGGGAGAAAGAGGCTCACTCAGAAGTGGGAGGGAGCCGAGTGGTGGGCATATTAAAATTTTGTAGGATAAACCAATAGAAAATATACTTCATAGAATAATTACATATGTTTTGAAGGGTTAGAACAGAAAGACTTTTTAATGCTTTTTTTTTTTTAACACAAACATTTTAAGAACATTAGAATTCTAGGAAAAATTTTTAAAGGGACTTAGAATTTCACCTTCTCAGAAAATCAGGCTATTTTTATTTTTCCATATCCCTTTCTAGGTCTTTCTTTGTAAAAGTCGAGTAACATTTTTTTCTACATATTTACTCCAGAAGAAAAGCTTTATGTAGTTATTGTGAACTTGATGTTTTATTATATATAAATACTGATAGAAGATGGTCCAGTTTGTTCCACCTAAAATCATTTCATGAACCACTGATGGTATTTGGGACATATTGGTAGATTTCTGGATTTTGGAATTAGGCACCTGATTTCAAATCTGAACTCTGCCACTTATAAATGTCCCATCCTTTAGCAAGTTGCTTAACCTTTGTACCTCTGTTATCTCCTCTTTATTTTATTTTATTTTATTTTTTAATTGGGGAATTGGGGGGATGGGAACAGCACTGGGGAATTGGGGGAAGGGGAACAGACAAATTGCTGTCCTTTTGTTCTTCAGTCTAGTTGTGGAGAACGTTGCTTCACTGGCCCAAGTTGGTACCATTATTGTGCCCTTCCTGGGCGAGGCAGATCAGTCGCCGGCTTCTGGACGGCCGCTCACGCTGGCTGCTGGCTACACACGGTAGCCCATGGCAACCCACTGCCACATGGGCTGCAGCCTACGCCGTTGCCGGCAACTCAGGGCAGCCCAGCTCCAGGTTGAGCTGTTGTTCAGCATCTTAGCTGTAGAGGGCAGTGTCACTGGCCCTCATATGTGGGATCCGAACCAGGGCCCTCTGGCATCCCAAGCCAGCTCTTAACCATCGCGCCACTCGGCCGGCCCTGTTATCTCCTCTTTAAAATGAGATTTTTCATGGTGTCCACATCATTGGACTAGGATGAGGACTAGGAAATGCATTCAGCACACAGTTTCTGGCACATGGTAAGACTCAGTAAATGTTACTCATTATTGTTTGCATTTCTAAGTAATACTTCAATAATTTAAAGCCTGTGGATTTCTCATTCTGAACTGTTAGAAGTACAGTATGACTTTCTGGAAGGGCTTTTTTACAAAGTGTTCTTTTTTTTCCTCCCCATATAAAAATTTCAATCTTCTTTGCCCCTCATCTCCTAGGAGTGTTTTTTTGAACAATGAAGGAAGTAAATCCTGTTGCCATTTTTTAATATATTTTACATTTTAGCTTTTTGCTTTTTTACCACCATATCAGCCGGTAGCATTTGCCTTCTGTTTGCCGGTTTGTTTTGCCTACTCCTGTCTCTCCCATGCCCCTCAAAAAGGTTCTCCGTTACATATTTGCCCTCTCAGAATCTGGTCCTAGAGGTATTATTGCCTGTTCCCTTCTTGGGCAGTTTCCTTGCTTTCTTCTCCTAAGTCCCCTGCTCAGTGGCACTCCCCATGGGCCAGCTCTAATGGGCCAGAGGGTGGTGGGCACATTGTGAGAAGTACCTTCGTCCTGGCTGCTGTGGACCTGACCACTTACTGCTTATGATCCTTCATGAGCCTCTCTGGTCTTAGGCCCAATCACTTCTGATTTGGAAAATTTCCATTTTGAGACAGTATCTGTGACTGAATGTGGCACACGTTAAACACACCTGTAAGAGGCATAGTTACTGCCTTCTACAGTGATGTCTCTGGTAATATATAAAATCATCATAACTAAAGGTAGGTGCACTGTGTATCAGGCACCGGGCTGAACACTTTCTATTGATTTTACTTGTTCACATCTTTGTGAGTTATAATCTATGCACTATAGATTACAGTTCACCCATTTAAAAGATACAATTCTAATGGGGTTTAGTAATAGTCACAGTTATGCAACCATCACTAAAATCAATTTTAGGATATTTTTATCACCCCAAAAAGAAACCCATACCCACTAGCAGCCACTTCCCATTATTTTCCACCCTCCAGCCCTAGGAAAACACTAACCTACTTTCTGTCTCTGGATTTGCATATTCTGGACATTTTATATAAATGGAATCATAATATGTGGTCTTTTGTGACTGGCTTCTTTCACTTGGCATAAAATTTTCAAGATTTATCTATGTTGTCGCTTATATCAGTACTTCATTCTCTTTTATTGTCAAATAACAGTTCCATTGAGTCCATTGTATGGATACCACATTTTACTTATCTTTTCATCAGTTGGTGGACATTGGAGTTGTTTCCACTTTTTGGCTGTTACGAATAATGACCATTACGGAACAGTTTTTTGTTGGACACACATTTTCACTTCTCCTGGATGGATACCTAGGAGTTGAATTGTTGGCTCGTGGTAACTCCATGTTTAACATCTTGAGGACCTGCCACACTGTTTTCCAAAGCAGCTGCATCATAACTTTACATTCCCACCAGCAATGTATGAGGGTTCCAATTTCTCCACATTCTTGGCAACACTTGTTACTTTCTGTCTTTTTCATTACAGCCATCCTAATATGTGTGAAGTGAAATCTCATGAGTTTCATAATTTTGGTTCTTACATTTAAGTCTATTCGAGTTAATATTTGTGTATAGTATAAGGAAGGGGTCCAAGTTCAGTCTTTTGCACTGTTGGTTGAAAAGACTTTTCTTTCCCTATTGAATTGTCTTGCCACCCTTGTCAAAATTCAGTTGACCATAAATGACTTATAAATGTAAGGATTTATTTCTGTACTCTCAGTTCTCTTCTGTTGAGCTACATGTGTATCCTGAGGCTAACACTGTATTGATTACTGTAGCTTTTTGGTAAGTTTTGAAATTGGGAGGTGTGGGTCCTCCAGCTTAGATCTTTTTCAAGATTGTTTTGGCTATTTTGGGTGGGTTGCTTGCATTTCTATATGAATTTTAGGATCAGCTTGTCAGTTTCTGAAGGAAAAAAAACCAGCTGGAATAATTATAGGGATTGCAAAATGTACAGATCAATTTGGGGGCATTGCCATCTTAACAATATTAAATCTGTGAACATGGGACATTTTCCATTTCCGTAGGTCTTACTGGATTTCTTTCAACTATGTTTTATAGCTTTCAGAGTGGAAGTTTTATATTCTGTTAAATTTATTCTTAAGCGTTTTATTCTTTTTGGTGGCATTGTAAGTGGAATTGTTTTCTGATTTCATTTTTTGATTTTGCGTTGCTAGTGCATAAAAATGTAATTCAGAATATATATTTGTCTTGTTTCCTGTGATGTTACTGACCTTTTTTTATTCATTCTAATAGTTATTGAGTGAATACCTTAGGATTTTCTGTATATAAGACCATGACATCTACAAATAGTTTTATTTCTCCTTTGAAATCCTTTGAAAACTAATCTGGATACCTTTTATTTATTTTTCTTACCTGCTAGTCCTGGCTAGACCCTCCAGCACAGTGTTAAATAGAAACGAAGAGAACGGACATCCTTGTCTTATTTCTGATCTTAGGGAGAAAGCATTCAGCCTTTTCCCATTAATATGATGGTAGTTGTGGATATTTCATAAACATCCTTTTATCAGTTGAGGCTTCTTTCTATTCAGTATGCTGAGTGTTTTTATCATGACAGGGTGTTGGATTCTGTCAAATGCTTTTTCTGCATCTATTGCAGAGGTCAAGTTGTTTTTGTCCTTTATTCTATTCTGTTTTGGCATATTAAACTAACCTGATTTCTGGGATAAATCCCACTTGGTCACCATGTATCATCATTTTCTTATATTGATGGATTTGGTTTGCTAGTATTCTGTTGAAGATTTTTACCTGTATTCATAAGAGATACTGATTGGTCTGTAGTTTTGTTTTCATGTAATGTCTGTGTATAGTTTTTTATCAGGGTAATACTACCCCCATAGAGTAAGCTGGGAAGTATTTCCTCCTCTGTTTTTTGAAAGAGTTTGTGAAGAGTTGTTAAGTCAGTTTCAGTATTTTATGTCTTTGCCATTTACATCAATTATCTAATTGGTTGGCATACAGTTGTTCAGAGTATTCCCCTGCAATCCTCTTTATTCTGTAAGGTCAGTAGCATTGTCCCTTTTATTCTGATTTTAATAATTTGAGGCTTCTCTGTTTTTTTCTGTTAGTCAATCTAGCTAAATATCTGTCAATTCTGTTGGTCTTTTCAAAGAAACAACTTTCAGTTTCATTGATTTTCCTTTATTGCCTTTCTCTATTTCATTAATTTTCAGCTCTAAAGATTATTTCCCTCTCTCCACTTGTTTTAAGTTTAGTTTGCTCTTTTTTCAGTGTTTTAAGGTAGCAAAGATAACGTTATTGATTTGAGAACTTTTTTAACATAGACATTTACAGTTATAAATTTCCCTTAAACATTGTTTTAGTTGCATCCCATACATTTTTGTATATTGTATTTTTCTTTTCATTCATCACAAAATATGTTCT